CTCACGCTAGTTGCACATATTCTTCAGTGTCTTGCTCAGGACTAGTCAGGACCCAAGAAACTTTGTGGAAAACTGCTGCGTTCGGAGCTTTTCTATTTTTTGCATTTTTATCCCAAAACCTATTTCCTCTTTCTTGTCTATAACTCCNCTGTCAAGAAAATTTTCTATATCAGCGACGCCACGTATCCCCTCCCCCCCACCCCCCGGTTCCCATTTGGCTGAAAATGTTGTTTTTTATTTTGTAAGTTTATTTGCAAGGCTCTCCAGATATATTTTCTAGTTGAATGGGGCTAGTTGCATACAAAATTTCAAAACTATTCTCTGAGGTTCATTTCGTTTTAATGGGTTTTCTTTGGCCGATAAAGAGTCTCTGCTCAAAATTTCGAGTATTATAAGCCGATTAAAAAGATAGACATGATAAAGAAATTGGATGTATGACTAAACATTTTTCTGGCATACATAAAAATTGACGGGTTTTAAAATAAGACGGTTTTTAGTAAGAACTTGTTGTAACTTCTGAGAGCAGGTATTGATCATATTTTTTTAACACACTAACACCTCAAAAGTTTCCTCGTCAAAGAAAAATGATTTCATTCGTGAACAGTAGAAAAGGTGACTATCTCAGTCGATGCACGCGACACGACATTGGTAACAACGCCTGGATACAACTATACGTGCTCCATGGATGTGCGTATTGCGTGCAAAAAATTTGAAGGCACTTTACTTTTGCCGTCCCTTACAGCACAGCGCATTGACACCACAAAGATTGATAAGAGAGACTGACTTGCATATCATATAGAGAGGGTCATCGTTGTTATTACTCAGGCCATGGATAGATTAGAAGACTAGAGTTATATCCTTAAAACCTTGAGATGAATGAGCATCAATCCAACATGCGTAACTTCAAGTTTCACAATATCAGCGCGCAGCGTCGAAGGAGAGGACAACTTAAAAATACCAAATTCCTGTTTGCGGTGCTATTTCAAGAAAATAACGATTTGGGGTAACTACGTTCCTTTTTTATTCTTGACGGGCAGAAGAAAATGCTGCCGTATGCAACGCACAAATGCCGTAAACGCCATTATACATTTCTTGATAACATTCTATCATAGCAAAAAACCTTTTACACCTTGAGACAATGTTTTTACAGAATACTTTTGCAAATACTATAAAGAGCTTAACTTGAAAATTTGAGGTGTATGGGTAAAACAATTTTTATTTTATTAAGAGTTAAGTTCCAAAATGCGAGGGAAAATCTTGATGGATTTACGGCGTTCTTGCTTAGCCCGGCAGCACGGAGGAGTAAATCCTAAAATGTTAACTGATCCATACACATCAGAGAGTTGATGGACTAACAGTAAAATGTGGAATATTCATTGAAGAGGCCTATTGATACATTTATTATTTTTCTTCTGTTTTTTCTTATACTTCTTCTTTCTTTTATTCTTCCTCTTCTTCCTTTTCCTCTTCCTCTTCCCATCTTCCGTCTCCTTCTTGTTCTTAAAATAGTGGTGCTTCTGCGATAGTAAATCTGCAAACGTGAAGACTTTAGGATCCGTCGCAATATCAAACCAGGTCATCAAATTTTCAAGGTCATGCCGGGACGAAGAGCTCTGATTGGTACCCGAGTTGAATTTAAAGCATGACCCTGTGAACGTTAAAATCAGATTTGATCATATTACAAGGCCCAGAGTGAAGGAGGAATAGAGGGTGATTTGGAAACACACAACTTCGTCATCTATCATTCCCTCATAACGAAGCGCGGAGAACATGACCGAATTATTGAAATTTCCGTGACTGAAACCGGCTTTTTGCCAGGTTTCCTAGCAGAGGCTTCTACTTGTTTCTAATCAATCTATAATATGCTCGGAAAAAAGGAAGAAAATTAAACGATGGGCTCCATGAAAGAGTCTGTCTTATGGACGGCTTATCTATTTCATACTAGTGGTAAATATCTGAAAATTATGCTGACATCGTTATTATAAAATTATCATAATTGCGATCATAAAAACACGTATTACTTCCTCGGCATACATGTTGGATAAAATGATTGAAGGCATGATTTATTGTTCACTGCGTTTTATTATAATTGAGATCTTTGATCTTAACATGATAATTTTATTACCTTCATTTAGTAGGTGCATATCAATAACATGTTTCTCATACCTTGTTAGCTCACTAGTAATGTCGTCATTTTTGCTTGTTCACGAAAAAAGAAGTGTGAAAAACGATTTTTTGCTCCTTCTCTATGGAATTTCCTCTCTCTTGGACCAAAAATATTTCCGATTTTTCTTTAGGCCTTTGCACAAATTTATAATTTTAATAGTTGACAAAAGTTTCTCCTATAGGATGAAAGGATGTCAGAAACTAATAATTTAAAAACATATTAGCTGAAAGAATTAATATTTCATTTTTCCCTCCTTTGATAATTTTCGGTAACTGAAGTGCATCTTGCAGTTCGCTCTCAGTTTTATTACGTCACACAGGAGAGGAGTAAGGCACCACGCCACTCATCGACGGACAATTTCCATGGGTACGAGTTATGAAAGACAAGGTTTATGTTTTCATTTACATCTCTCATGCTTTCAAAATGAGCTTAATGGGCGTACTTAAATAGATTGTCTCGTTCTTACGTCCAAGGATATTCATGAAAAAGTGGAAGGAAATTATTTGCTTCCTTTGTTGAGAACAAGATTACTGTCTCGACCGAGAATGAGAAGTTCAAGTTGAAAATAATTACTCACCAATTAGTTTCATCTTTTCTTCCCTTTCCCCGTCCACTGTATTTTTACGTATGTCTTTTTAACTTGTAAGATCATGCTGGGTCACAGTAGATAAGCTTTATTTGTATGTTATTCGTATTCTTCTATTTTTATTTAGACCAGCAATAGTTTCAATATAGTCTCCTAGCGTCGTAAAAATTTTGAACATACTAACATAGTATAGATTTAGACTTAGCCAACTTTAAGGGGAATAACTATAGATACCCGTATGACTTCGAACAGCTCTCTCAGTGCTTGGAAATAAAATCCTCCTCTCTTTATCTTATTCTTGACCATCAACTATCACTGATTCATATTATTTCCCTTCTTCCTCTCCCGTAAAACATATTCATACAATAACGGTCTTTTACTTCTGAATTTCTCCTTCTTTAACTTGGATCTTTGGTTAATTTTGATATTTTGTCGTGCACTTGATCATTCCGAATATATATTACCTTCTTAATATTGAAATATTACAGGAATAGCGTACAATATGCCCCCCCTCCTCAAAAAAATGAAAAAAAGTCAGCTTAAACAAAAATGTTCGTGACCATTGAGAGCGGTAAAATATAACCTCCTACAGAGCGAAACAAAAGCAAATTCAGCGCTGGTATATTGAAAACATGAATTGTGCACTTTATATAAGCTAGCGTGGGAAAAATCGTGAAGGTGAAAATTTGATTTCTTGTGAAATACGAATTTAGCACTTGGATTTTCTTCTTGAAAATGTGCCGGCTCACCGATAGTTAGGCGATTGAAAAAAAGTAGATGCCAATGAAAGTGGAGAAAATATTGGCGGAAAAATCCGTAGAAACATAAAAAAAATGGGAGGAAAATTTCTCTAAACATAGTTTTTGACTTTTAATTAGACAAAAAAAAGGCAGGCTGTACTTACTCAATCAACTCTGGAATTCTTGGCCGTTCAGCATTACTGATTTTTTCGGTTCAAATGATCCCAATTAATATTCGTTCGGTACAATTATTGAACCCAATTAAGATGCCTCCGTGGCACAAATAACCAATTCTGACCATGCCAATGATTAACCGATCGTTTGTTTTCCGTTTCATTTTGCCTCCCCGCGATGATTCAGCAGGGTTATATTTAATGGGGAATAATATCTGCTCAAAAAAATTGGTATTTCTGACGCGGCAATGCGCTGTTGTGGATTCAGGAAATTGAATGTGTGAAGGCCAAAATAAAATTTGATGTATTTGAACAACTCAGCACAAACTTGTGGCTTTGCTCCTGTGCAAATTACTTACATTTCACCTTTGCAATTTTAACAAGAAAACACTCATATCATAGTCCCCTCCCCTCTAGTCGAATAATTTCTGTTTTTTTTTTTTTTTTATTAAAATGCTTGGAATTCAAACATTGATTGAAGTTTTGAAAGGCACAATTCCACCTTAATTCCGAGGTGAGACTTGAAGATATTGTGTTCTTACGCAATTGAAGTTTTGTCCTAAAGTGTAAACAGCACCTTTTCGCGCGCCCCAATGTATTTATCTTCGAAATTCGGTTGATTTTCATTAGACTTTTGAGGCAGTCTAATTGCTAGAACAGATTTTTTTTTGCCTATTTGTTCGAAGTCACGTGGGGTGCACCTCAATAAATTAATTTATTCAATTTGCATCACGTTGATATTTATTTACATTATAGAACGTCGCGTTTTAAAAAATAATGGAAATTATAATAAATAGAAATTCAAAGAGTTATGGTAATCAGTGGTAAACACCCTCTCACCGAATATTTTATGATCTGCAAATTATCCTCTGTTAGCGGAAACGAAAATGTATTTTTAACTCAAAGCTTATATAACAATAAAGTCGTCATTTAATCTGTTTTTTCAAAAAGAGCAACGAATGATGACTGCGTCAATTTATTTCTGCTACATCGTGCGTAACTATAATGTTTAATTACTAGAGTATGCTATTAAAGTGTCGCAACACCTGATATCTTAAAGAAATTATGCTTGAGTGTCAAACCATCGAATGAGAATAAGTGCTGGTCCAGGTGAATATTTCTCTAATTTACTTCAACGGAAATAACACTTCATAATAAGTTATTTTTTAATTACAACGCACTACAGAAAGATAGGTCTAGTGCAAAAAGCGAAGGAGTGGGTAAATTTTTATGATTTTCTACTTCATGTTCAATCTTCAGCGGCAAAATCGCCTAAAGATTTCGTCAGCTTTGCACTGATATACGAACTTATAGAGAACAATTTTGTATTTCAGTTGGAGTCACAACTAGCGCACGCTGACTTCCAGCGAAAAGTTCATGAACTGGTCTCCCAGATCGACGAGGATGGTGTCCAGGATCAAAAACTGCGAAGACAGCTCAAATACTTGGCAGTGGTTGGCCATGCAGCTTTGCCGCGAGACCAACTCAACAGGGTAAGTTTCCTCGCAAACTAGTGGCCCTGCTATTTTTATGGCTTTTCAACCGAAAAAAGACTTTCAAGCATTGAAAACAATTTGAGCCCTAAATTAATTGGATAAGAAAACCTAAGAGTGGAGTATGAGAATTTCTATGAAATATCAATGGTCAAAGTGCTAAACCTCCTGACCAAGTATTGATAGATAATTATTAGTCTCTGTTTCCCACGGTGCAGACTTCCTGTCTTACTTTATTTTTCCTTTGGAAAACTAGTCGACTCACATACGAATATTAGGAAGAGCTGTCATTAATTTTCGGTCATGCGAGTAACTTTCTTTGCTATGAATTACCCTTACTTGAATCGTAAGGCTTTGATAGTTAAACTGGAAAAGAAAAGTACTTAAACTAATTGTAAGTAATGAGAGAAGCCGAGACGTTCCAAAGATACTTGGAGACCCCGTCGACGACAGCAGCAATTGCCCCTTCACTTTTCACGTGGGCAACTTCTTATGCACCTATTTTGTATCCAACCAAGAAGGCGTCGCAATCTTTGTTTGAATGTGTAAATACGGAGAAGATAAGACCGAAATATGTCCATCGAGAATTCTTGCTGATCATGACTGTTGCACATTTTAAAGGAGTGGATATGAATATTTACATATCCCAAAAGTATGCCTCAAAAGTGGCATCTTTCAAGCGTGGTGCAGGTCATTTTTGTGGCTTTCATATTTATTAGTTTCGATTTTTTGGAAGACTCGATTGAGTTTCTATAATTGTTTTATCTAAAATTATTAGATAAATTTGATTAATTACTTTCGATTATATTTTTTACCGAAACAACTTCTGAAAATAGAATCGTTATAAGTCTTTAGTTTTTTATACTATTTTACTCAACATTTTTCTAAAACGATTCTATCCAATAATATCGTTCACAAGGAAAATCATTTTAGCTGTTACTGAACTGTAATATATGCATTTGATCCTGTGAAAATATGAACTGCATTTTGCAATTTGGAACTATAAATTCTGGCCCGGTTTAAAAACAACGTGTGTGCCATTAGTTTCCCTATGCGCATAAGTGTTTTTCAGATGAGCCAGAATTCATAGTTCCAAATTGCAAAATGTAGTCCATATAGCGGTCAAATAGGTTCCTGGTTGTGCTGAACATGTGTTCGGTGAAGGATTCATTAACACTACCAGGAATCTAATGCGTGAAACTAGATTTTCTAAGGATCCTTTTTTTCTAGAGGGTCTGGTAACCGATATCATTACTTTTTTCTACAAAACCAACCATGCTCCTCAAAGTAAAATAGAGCAAAAAATACTGGACGTAGAACAAAGTGTTTCGAAAGTAAATATGCCGGAAATATATACACCCCCCCCTCCCCCTCTTGGCAGCTGATCTTTTGAAGAATTCAAAATTCCTCCGAAAACGCATTTTGACCGCATATTCATTTCAGTGAGTATAACGAATGCTTGTCACATTTACTTTCCTTCCTCATTATGTTTTCTCTCTGGGTTTCAGTATAATTCCCTGATAAATGAAATGCTCGCAATATACAACAGTGCAACAATATGCGCCCATCAAAGCCCCCTCAGGTGCAACTTGAGACTCGATCCAGGTAATCATTATTGATATTGTTATATTTATATACACAGAATGTGCCGCTCTTCAATCATTTAAGTGATGTGAACAGTAATTCGAGAACTGTCTCAATGGAGGAAAATATTTAATCATTAGACTAATCCAATTCCTGTGTAAGGACTTATTCCAATTCCTGCGTGAAGAGGAGAATTGATTAAAATAAAAAATGAAAAATAAAATAAACAAATTATCAGGAGAAAACGATGAATCTCTTCACCCTGAATATGTTGCTCATTCATTATCACTATCCGAAAACATCAAGTCTGCTCTAACAACTAGTGTCGATGTTTTCTATTTGGCATCACCTTTTTGCTCTATTTAAATAATCCATTTAAAAAGTCGATTTAGGCAGACTGCCTCACCTGCAATCATTTATTTTACGTGCATGCAAACGGGTAAAAGCAATGTTGCCAACTTTTAAGAATCACAACTGCTGCCAATAGAATGCCCCAGTCACAGTCTCGTCATTTTAATTTTAAAATGAACCGAATCTCATTAAATTTATTTATTATCTTATTTCATATGTTGTAGAATTATCCGTAATTATGGCCCGAAGTCGGGACTGGAACGAGCTTCAACATACGTGGACGGAATTCCGGAGAAAGACAGGAATGAAAATAAAGGATCTATTCGAGAACTTGGTAGACTTGAGTAACTACGCTGCACAACTTAACAGTAAGTCTCTGGATTACAACTCATCGGGTGGGTGGGTAGAGGGGGACATCATCATCATCAAAAATAGAATGAAACGAAACTAAATCATCGTTGGTGCACTTTCATTTGTAGCAAAAAGAAAAGTTTATAACAGGAAACAAGTCAGGAGGAATGCGAAAAAAATTAAGGTTTGCTAATTTTTACCCTAAAACCAGGACTGGTAGATTAAGGTAAGTTCAGCTCAGCAGTTATAGGACATTTCGTCAACGATTTTTTGTCCGCACACCTGTTTTTTCCAGTAATTTACGTCAACGCGTTTTTTCGGCAGGGGAGTTTTGGTCCACGTGTCAGTTGAGACCCAAAGTTAATTGGCCCGCACATGTAAGTACAAACGACAATAATTGCTCATGACGTTTTTGGATGAAAATGTATAATGTCTTGGAAGAATGAGGGTTTGCTTGTTTTTTTTGTTTTGTTTGTTTGGTCCAACGGAGAATAATATATAGTTGAGATTTTTGATAAAAATAGGGGAGCGTCAATTCATGAGATAAAATTCACTAAAACTCTCTATACCTCTTTGGTGTAACAGGACTGAATTATCTTTCAAGAAATTCCCACCTTGTTACACCTGAACCGGATAAACCTCTTGATTTGCCTCAGCTAAAGGCTCCTAGATTTTTCCTGTGTACGATAAGCGGCGGGCGGCCAGCGCGAAACGCGCATAGGCGCCTACAAACCTAAGTGGATACTTCAAGCATTGTGCAATGCGAGAAGTATCCACTTAGGTTTGTAGGCGCCTCTCGCGCTGGCAGCACGCCGCTCCGCTCTGTTAGGCTCTAATATTTACACTCTCATAGTCAGCGTTTTTTAACTCATGATTTTGAAATGTTTGCACACTCTGCATTGATTATTCTCATTTAAATTGATGAAAAAAATATGTATCAATTTATCAAAGGAGAATAATAATATAATGTGTGTTTTTTTCAAATATTGGTAGTTACGAGTCAAATTTAATGATTTCCAAAGCATTTTAATTTTTTCTTTTACATTTTGTGCTTTTACTGTGCTGCAGCGGGGTGAACGCGCAACCAAATGCTCAAAATTTGACTATTTGACTCTAAAAGATCTATGTACAAATGGGTTAAAACAGTTTTAACCCATTTGTACATAGATCTTTTAGAGACAAAGAGAAGCGTGCAATCTTTAGTTACTAAAGATTGCGCGCTTCTTGGTTTTTCCCCCTCTTTCATTCATTTTTGCAATTTTTTTCGGCACAACCGCGGTTCATTGAGATTAATATCGATGCTATCGCTTAGAAAAGGTTTTAAAAATATTTGGCACGTTTTAAAAATATAAATGTTTTCAAAATGAAGTTATAATTTCGTTTAAAAAAAAATAAAAAAAAGTACCTGTACTTATATAAGGTATATTGTACATCGAAAATGTTAAGGATAGAACTAAAACCAAATATTCAGCAATGACAATTTAAAAAGATGAATCAAAAGGAGAAAGTAACATTTCATTTAGAAAATGAGCAACCATAACAACACCTCCTTTTCTCTCATTTTCTCATTTCCATATTGTCAATATAATTTTACATACGGACTAAAATATAACGCTTGGACCAAGTCATTGTTGCTTATTTAACGCGTAGACGTTAACTACCGCACAAAAAAGGTGCGTGGAAAAAAAATCTTTAACAAAATGTCCTGAAACCCGTTCATCACTGAGGCTTGAAATCTTTGAGACATGATCCGTAGGTTTGCTTGTCCTGTTATTTTTGTCGACGTGAAAAAATACCTCTGGAAGAATGAAGTTCTCTTCTTTTTTACTGGAAAATATGAATAACTCAATACGACTTTGATCACTCAATAACTGACGATCCGAATGCAACTAAATCTGCTTCAGAGTTGCTTGTGTTGTATGTGAAAAATTGAAGGCGCTTCGGTAGGAACCGCTCTCAGATCGATGCGCGCGTATAGCACAACGGACCATTTTAGCAAATACTCCAATTGGTACATTCCGCTAAATACTTTGGCTGAAGTATTGTGTGAGAACAAAATGAACATACCGAAGGAGTAAGTCCACAACCACGCACATCCTTTACGGTGTTTGGAAAACTTCGCTCATATTTTATTTTTTAAAAAAGAGCAAATTGAAATCAATTCAGATCATCTGAAAAGTTTCAGCAGAATTATAATCGCAAAGCGAAAAAAAATCACGGCGCTTTTTCAGAATTGCCGTTAAGTACTTTTCTATTTAAAAAACTTCCAAACCAAGGTACGTTGGTCTTGGACTCGTACCGTCGATATTAAGCTGCTCGTTCAAGTCCCAGTCAAAAGGCTGATTTACTGTTTCTTTGTTGCGTGCATTGATTTGTAGGTAAAAATGTGTAGACACAGCCTGAAACGCACTAGATTTGTCATTAACTATAATCATTAAGAACAAATAACCATTGACGAAACCATTTCAATGCGTTTTCTTGGAAATCGCAAAATTTTATCATGACTAATGGTATTTTACTAAGGCAAACTGCAAAGATGAAAAAAGAATAAAGATAAAAATATCTGCAAACCAGAAAATCATGACCGGCTGAAATCGGCTTGCGTCTTCTTCACAAAGGCTAAAGGGGGACTTTTTCAGTTTTCTATATTTTTCGGGAGTTGAACGTTATTACCTGCTACATACGCGTAAAAGTTGTTTAAGTTGTTAAGTTAATTTGTTTAATTGCCATTTTCTAATTCAATCTCTGTTCGCTTGTTCACCAGACATGACAGATGCTTCTGAGTATTGGATGTTTCCCTACGAGTCTCCGTCGTTCAGATTCGAGTTGGAAGATGTCTGGGAGCAAATCAAACCCCTCTACGAGCAACTCCATGCCTACGTCAGGAGGAAGCTACGAGATCTGTATGGACCCGAGAAAATAAGTCGGGAAGCTCCTCTCCCAGCTCACATTCTTGGTAAGTTTAGCTAAGGAAAAAAGTAATAAGAATTGTTGTAAGTATTTGGAGGCTAGTGTGGAGCAACGAACCGCTAGCTAGCGGCACGAACGTGTGGCTAGTGTGGAATCGTGATGAAGTAGAATAGCGATCGCATAGGGATATGATAATTGGAATATATTTTGCACGTAGGAACGAAAACTTCTAGCTCAGTCTAGAGGCAACGTAAGTACCATTAGTTCCCGTTTGCACAAAAACGTTTTTACAGATGAGAAAGAAATTGTAGTTCCTAACTGGGAAATGTAGTCCTATTCGTCGCTTGGCTAACAAAAAGGGTATCTATTCTCTAATATGAGCCTGGCAGTGGCGATTATTGGAGGTTGGCAACACTTATTTTCCCCTATTAAAACGTATGTGAAACAATCGATTCTTGGTGAGGCAGCCTGTTTCATCTAGAATCGATGTATTCAATGGCTTTAAATGCAGTTGAACAGTGTTGCAAACTTGCTGGAATCACCCCTAGACCTTGGGAAAATATTGAAGCACGTGGACCTAAATCTTTTCATCGGCAGATACCCTTTTAAGATATGGATATCAGCCTGATTGAAGGCTAATGAATTCAGCAGCCAAGGTTGAAATATTAGACCATGTGACCAAATCACCTTCATTGTTAGAATACCCTCAGTATTATTCACCAACGGTTAAAGTTAAATGTATCCTTTTCTTCACAGGAAACATGTGGGCGCAGTCGTGGAGTAATATACTGGATATCACAATCCCTTATCCGGGCAAAAATGTCTTGGATGTGACTCCTCAGATGCTACAGCAGGTAACCAGACAATTCTTTTTTAAAGATTGCCTCAGTAGAACTAAAGTGTCCAAATGAAAGGTGTACTTAACTTGAATACTTTCAAAGGAAAAAATTTGAACGAAGTGATGAAGCGTCTATGTGTAAATTCACTTAACAATCAATTTGTTCAGCACTCATTTGATTGAAATTCCCTGATAGCATTTTGAAAAGGAAGCGCATACAGATGAAATGGAATTGGAAAGGTTCCTTGACGTGGACATTGCACTTTATCCCTGAGGTTTTCCATACCATCTTTGTAAGTACAACTCTGGAAAAAAAAACACATTGGATCTAGAGCCCAGACTCTTAAAAACATCGACAAGAAAAAGTACTCTTGATTCAATCAGAATCGAGCTTTAATCAAGAACCAAGCCTCTTAATTTAAGTGGATTTCGTTTTGATTCAAGCAAAAATCCGATTGAATCAAGAGTATTTTTTCTTGTCAATGTTTTCAAGAGTCTGAACTCTAGATCCAACGTGTTTTTTTCCCAGTGAAAATCTATGTAGCTCTTATCCCATGTCGAGATGTTAACGGAGGCAAATCTCGACATTTTTGTTTTGTTTGCGCCGCATTGTCACATTTCTCTCTCGACTATCTCTTAATGCATTATCTTTTTTATTTTTAGGGTTACACTCCCGAAGCCATGTTCAGAATAGCAGAGGACTTCTTTGTTTCGTTAAACATGAGCGCAATGCCACCTGAATTTTGGGCGAACTCAATTTTCGCCGAACTTCCCGATCGTCCTATTATATGCCAGCCGTCTGCATGGGACTTTTGCAATCGACGTGATTACAGGTCACTTAATTTCCTTTAGAAATTCATTTCCTTAGACTCGGTTATTTTTGTTTGATGACTTCATTTTCACAAATGAGCTGTTTCTGCGGAAATTTCCAGGCTGTTGATTTGGTGAGACTGCTTGGAAAAGAATCGTGACTTTAAAAAAGCAAGAAAGAAACAAGAGGCTAGAAACAAGAGCACTCCTTCAGTCGAACGTCATCACCAAAAAATCCTCTCGCTAATCCAGACTCTTGAGTGCGTCCTTTTCAAAATAATTGGACCTCGTTTAACAGAAAGAAACCAAGCTACATCAGCTATTGCCAAATTTTTTGGACATAGGAACGTAAGCGGATCCCTTTTTAAAATTTTGAGGAATTCGCTTCGTACTATGCAGGGGATTCACTGAAATTTGCACAAAATCCACGACCATTTTCATGTAAAAAATTAACTTGCTGGGGTTCCTTTCTACTTAACGCGGTCTAATATTGTGCATTGATAAATATACATCGAACATTGATAACATTGCGTATCAAACCGGTGGGGCTTCTCAAACAGCCCCTCGCCAAACTTACAGGTTCGATTGAATTTTGCGGTTTTGCCGAGATCTGCACACCACACTACAGTCACCAGAAAATACTATTTCGCCTTCAAACTTCTAAGTAGGCAACAAACGCTACAGCTATGTTACTGCGGCGTGTTATCGTGTCACGGCGAAGTACGGCGAGATCTCAGTGCAGTTTCCACTCAGCGACTGCGACTAATTCCTCCTAATCGTTTATTTTATGATAGGGTAATCCATGCAAAGTTTGTGATCTTTCTCATGATGAATCCTTGTCTTTTTTTGCGTAAATTGAAAATTTTATAGACCTCAGGGTGATCAGAAAGCACTGATGTATCTTCGGACCGTGTGTGATTTTTAATACAAAGTGTCTCTGACTACAAAACCAGCGGATCACTTTTCCCCTCATGGAACTTTATTTCATAATAAAATCATATGTTTTTTTACAGGATAAAGATGTGCGCTCAAGTGAACATGAAAGACTTCATAACAGTTCATCACGAAATGGCACACATCCAGTACTTTTTGAAATATCGGAATCAACCAAAGATATTTAGAGACGGCGCGAACCCAGGTATATAAGCCTATATTACAGGAATTTAAACTTAGATTTGAACTTGATTCTACTTCAAATATGTGATTCCCATTTGGAGAGAGATAAAAATTTCAAAATCGCATGAAAGACACTTAAAAAAATAATATGCTATTTTAGCATCTAGGATGTCGAAAATGTGTCTGGTGATCCCAAGATGCTGCCTTTACTGCCCTCTGAGTTAACTTTACATGCTGTGAATGCAAATTCAACTGCGTTGGCAGTCAAGGCAGCATGTTAGGATCACCAGACACATTTTTGACATCGTACGTGCTGAAACAGCATCCCATTTTTTTCAGTGGATAGACTGATAAAATTTTTCCTGGAGATATTTATTTACTTCGCATTAAATCGGAATCTGAATCGTCTAAGATCTTCCCGGCGTTAAATCTGAATACACACTAAAAACAGGGGAAAAAACAAAATGGGCCGAAGCCATTCCCTAAAGTTTTTTCAATTTTATTCATTTCTAATTTGAAATTCAAAAGCTAGCCTTAGACTTGATTTTCAAACTTTTCGTTGTGTGTATCATTCTCATGAGTTAGGGGCTGTGCATAAATTATATCACCCATTTCCCGCGACTCTTTGACCCCTCCCTCCCCTATTTTTTACCGACATGTCACTCACCTCCGGACCGCCCGCCCCCTAACAATGACGTAATTTTAAACGCATCCCCCTTTTTTGTGTAGGTTTTGGGTTGTAGCAAACTTTTGCCACAGGTGTATCACACATTGATTCGTGTGTTAAAAATGACTCAAAAATAACGTTGATCATATAGGAAAAGTCTAAAATCTTCCCCCCTTTTCACCCCTTTTCACCCCTTTTCTCATTATGATACGGTGACGTCACTTTTGCTTGACTTCATCTCCCCCTTTGTCACCCATATGTCACTCACCTCTAGATCCTCCCTTCCCCTCTGGGTGGGCGACGTAATTTATGGCCGGCCTCTTATGTTGTCTTCATGCAATATTTCGAATTACTAAATTGAGCTCTAGGTATTGATTCACTGTGGTAATTTTTGTGACTACATGACCACTCAAACTGATGAATATATTTTTGTCCATGCAGGATTCCACGAGGCAATAAGCGAAGCCATTGCTTTGTCTGTTTCAAATCCGAAGCACATGCAGACACTGGGTTTGGTGCAAACGTCCATCGATGACCTGCCTCACAATATCAATTATTTGTTCAGTATGGCCATGGACAAACTTCCATTCATGCCGTTCTCGTTGTCTTTAGATCTGTGGCGTTACGACATATTTAGGAATAACGTCGGCAAACAGAGATATAACTGCCACTGGTGGGATCTCAGGTGAGATACTGTCGCTTTCTTTAGTTAGACCGTGTTGATTTTACGAAACCGTTCATAACTAGACAAGTTTCATTACATCGATGGTCGAAGTGCGGAACCGCGTATCTCCAATTTAATGTTTCATTTCCGCCCTTATTTTATTTTATCGAAGAGAAACAACCCAAATTCATATTTTGAAATGGAAACAGAATGTTCTACTCGCAAAAGAGAAAAATTAAGGAAGTTTTCAAAAAATTACTTTCATAAGTTTTCCGAGGAAAAAATAAAGTATGTCCGGAAGTTTGCAACGTCGCAAACGGAGATACGTGGTTTTGCACTGTGGTCGTTGATGTGTAATTTACGTTAGCCCTAGATTGACCATTGTCCATAATAATGCCGCACTTAATGGGTCGGTTGAGCAAATTACAAAATCTTGTCCATAGCAATTTTGATGAAATTATGTTTATGTCTAAAGGTAGAAATTCAAACTCACTTCTGCGGAAATAACCAGTCTGGATAAAAGATATCAATTTTTAAATTTTGATGCTCATTGCTGTTTAATACACTCCTAAAAACATATAATCATACAGTTTCAGATCATAATTCGCGTTTGTTTGTAGTGGTGTTATGGACGTTTGAATTGAATCATTCCGAAAGATGGCAGCAGCGACGGCAAACTTTTAATGCCGTTCCCCTGGAATTCTCCCCTTTCCTTCCTTAATGTTTTACAAAGGTCCATTTTTAGAAATTTTGGATCTTTTCGCAAAGTCATGCGCAATTAAGCCTTTGAGAAGATGGCAAAGTTACCTCATGTTTTCACCATACCGCACATTGTATACCTGACTCCATCATAAATATTCAAAATATCTCTACAAACGCCAAGTTCTCGTTGCTTATTGGATTGGAGAGAAATAAAGGCGATAATGCAGGTACTGCGGCAACTTAATTACTCATTGAAAGTTGCCCTAAGAATGCCTGTGTACTCTACAATTCACTTTAACAAAAAGTAGGATTACACTTAAAATTAACGGCCCTTTGTCGTGATGTTCAGACTTCTGATCGGCCAGTCCGGGGAATCCGCGGAATGGGCCAAGAACGTCGGCCAGTGCTACCGTGCTAAGGAAAAACACCGTATGAGCCTTTAGACATTGCCAGATTTACTTCACTAAAAACCGAATTTACTGGATAAGTTTTGAATATTTTCTGTCGAATTTTTTAAATAATCTTGTTTGCGACTTATGATCTAATATATCCGAAAATTTCACGGAAAAATATACATAACTTTCCTTTAAAATACATGTTTTATCCGAAGAAATTTGGCAACTCTCAAACTTTCATACGGCGTTTTTCCTTACCACGGCAGAATGCGCGGACCAGGCAACAACGGGGTTGTCCCGTCAACCTAACCACGGACGGGACGAAAAAGTTGCCCAGTCTCCAAAAACTGGCCAATCTCGCTGAGAACGGATTGTAACATAGATCGACGGCGTAAGTCCGCAATCACGTATCTCGTTTGCGGTGTTTGAAAATCTCCGCCTTTATATTATTTTGGAAAGGAGGACAAATTGACATCATTCCTTGAAGTTTTTGCAGAAGTTTCTTCGCAAAGAGAAGAGAAATCACGGAAGTTTTAAAGAATAGAGATGTTGCATGTGTGAGGAATTTGCGATTTGACTTTGGGTTCTTATTGTAAGTTCGCGAGAAACACGATGGTGCCACTGGTCTTCTCTGAAATCAACTACCAAGCTCAAAAAAGCTCTTGAGTTGAGGCTAAAATCGAGGGGACATCCCACGCTATCTTGAGAGTCCGCTTCTACATCAAGACAAACTCTCCATGCAAATATAGGGAGCAAATACATTAGCAGGGTTGCCGCGTTTTCAGTTTTAGAGTCCTAAAATAAAGTGGCAGCCTTGTCAATGTATTTGCTCCCTATCTTTGCATGGATAGTTCGTCTTGATGTAGAGGATGACTCTCAGGATAGCGAAGGATATCCCCTCCATTTTGACCTCAACTTGAGAGCTTTTTTGAGCTTGGGAGTTGATTTCAGAGAAAATCAAAGGCACTGTCGTTTTTTTCGTGAACTTTTACATTAGAATCAATGGTCAAATCGCAACCTCACGCATGCAACATCTCCATTGTCGTTGAATAGTTTTTCGTCGAAAAAGTAAGGCATGACAGGAAGTCTGCGATGTCGCAAATTGAGATACGTGGTTACAGACTTACACCGTCGAGATAGTCGTTTCCCCACAGTCAAGCACAACTGCCGGTGTAAGGGTTTGTAGGAGCGAAGAGATGATGTCATCACCTCCTCGTGATGACAGATTTTAAGGGCGCTTTGAGAGGATATAAATCTTCGGCGGCCAGACATCGCGGAGTAGTAGAATGGAAAAATATCACTTCCACATGAACTCTCCATAGAGACTATATTGAAAATGGGTTATTTCATGTAATATTTTGTCTCGTTTTAGGGAAAGACTGAGCGGTGTAAAACCACCAGTTCTTCGTTCAGAGGTAGATTTCGACGCTGGTTCGAAGTATCATGTTCCTGCTAACATTCCATACATAGGGTAAGTCATCTTATTCATTACTTTAATCATTTTCAATTTTACCATGTATGTATTCCTCATTGGACATCTCTATATCCAGAAAATCGTGCACAAATTGTCTGAAACAAAAGGAGCCATGAAGCATGCAAAGCATGGTCTCTTTTTGTACCAATTGATTGCACATTGTTTTTTCTTTTTTTTTAGCATAAATGCGTATAATTGATTTATAAAACAGTTGGACGTTTAGAAAGGTCCTGCTTTTGCGTAGCGACGTAGCTGCTCAAAATTTTAAAGCTGCACTTGAAGAAAGGAAAGGAGGGAACCCCAAAACAAATTACAGGTCGAGATCAAATTTTAATTTCAATCGCAGTCTCCAGTGCGGAATGTTAGTTTCAAGTGCTTACATTTGCGCAAGTACTCGTAACCAAGCGACATATAATAAATCGAAATCACACGAAGAATAAATGAGTGTTACATCACTTTTTCGATCTGTTAGAGGTGACACACATGTAAACGGCGACTCATGTAACAGTTAGCGTATCATATCGTAAGAGAAAGCATCGGACAAATATTTGCAGTTGTCTCACTTCACCGACCAAATCGCGGTGTTCTCATTTTGGAACTAAGAATACCCCAGGTGTTGTAATGAGATGAAACAGTTGGACCTAGTTTTGTCCATCGTGAACGATTGACATAGATGAGAACACATATACAGTCGGTTGTATACTGCCGTGCCAAGGAAAAACGCCGTATGAATATTCGAAAGTTGCCAAATTTTCTCTTAGAAAGTATTTATTTTTGAAGAAATTTATGGATACTTTCCCTCAAAATTTTCAGAATTTTAAGATGAAATAAAGAAAAATATTCTCGGGAAAAACTCGGGAAAAAATCTTAAAAAATGTTCCCGAAAATTCATGATTTGTGGAAGGAGATTTGGCAATGGCCGATGGCTCATACGGCGTTCTTCCTCAACATGGCAGTATGGCTCTCTGATTAGCAATAACTTCTCCTCGAGTGTATCTCTTAGGAATACCCATTTGGACAAGCGTAATTGGGGCCTTTACACAGTTGAAGTCTTGCTATTCCTCTTTCAATTCGTCCAAAGCAGTTGTGATGATTCGATTTAAAATAAAATCAACCACCAAGATCCGGATGAAATTACAGATAATGCAAAATACTTTTCTCCTCGACTCGTTTCCCCCAGCGCTGCTGGTGAGGCGTTCCCAAGTAGCATTTTTCAACGGAAAAATCGGGATATATTGCAATTTTATCGGCAATAAAATCGCAAGGATCATCAACATCTAAGCGATTATCCTCGATCTCATCGGGATAAAATCGCGATTTTATCGCCAGGCAATTTATCGCGATGTTCTCGAAATAAAAATGGCGATTTAATATCGATTTTATCGACGAAAATTGATCGCTATTTTATCGAACAAAAAATTGCGATATGCAATAGCAATTTAATCGCCATATATCGCAATTTTAATGCGATAATATCTCGATATATTGCAACCGATATAATCGCGATAACCAACCGGTAAAATCGCTATTTATCGCGATCACTGCTACTTGGGTTTAGTGTCTGAAGTCACAACGCCTTCACTTGCGTGCATATGCAACACGTGTGTATGACATCCTTGGAGCCAACTGAAATTGATTCAGATCCATTTCAAAATCTTTGACACTATCAGATTTTGAATTCCGTTGACTCGATGAAAAATGCCCATCGTCGTCGCCACTGACGACCGCAATTTAGGCAACAAGCACGGAAGGTAAAATAAATTTTCGACCGTGTAAAGCAATCAAATCGGGTCATATTTTTCAATTAGATTTCTCCAAATGCCAGTCAATAAATATATTTAGGTGGGTATAAATTATGACTCTCATACATATTGTCGTTTCGCGGGCGAAGGAACGTAACTTCATTCCAAGGTTGCAAAATTGACTAAAATAATTCAATTTTTTAAGAGGATGTACCCGTTTAATTTTTTTCTGATTTTAGCTTCAGATCAGAAGAAAAATCGATGCAATTTTCAAATAGGAATTTCCAAGACTATCTTGTTGAAAATGCAATTTGAGAGGGGCCATTTGGCAACATTGAAATGTAGATACGTCCTTTTGTGCGAGGGGAACGACGATACATGATTTATATGCCAGCATGGTTTGCGATTTCACAGGATATTTTCCTGACACTGGAGAAAAAAACACATCAGATCTAGAGTTCAGACTCTTGAAAACATTGAGAAGAAAAAGGACTCTTGATTCAATCAGATTTAAGCTTAAATCAAAAGGAAATCCGCTCAAATTAAGAGGCTTGGTTCTTGATTTAAGCTTAAATCTGATTGAATCAAGATTATTTTTCTTGTCGATGTTTTTAATAGTCTGGACTCTAGATCCAATAAGTTTTTTTTCCAGTGGATAGTGACTTTTTCTTTGAAATTTCAACAGGATAGGCCATGAGAAATACTTTTATCAGTGTTTTAGCCACTGGTCCTGGGCGATTTCTAGAGCGAAATTTGGCGCGGCAACACGTAGAGCCTGTTGGTTGTTGATCGATGATTGTTGGCATCATAACTGCTCCTCGCGTCGCTGGGGCGCGCGCCGTTCCTTGATTCGTCTCGGTCGCTCCCACAGAATTATATTTTTATTAATCAATTACCAATTACCTCACTTTTGTTTTCTTCAAATACTCACTACCGGTCAACATGTCGGCCGTGCCGTCGAGACTGTTAGCGAAAATCCCGGGTGTCGCCACTTTTTCCTCTCGAAAGCGATGCGACGCGACGAACTAAAGACCCACTGTCCGGTCCGTAATATGGACCGCGTTGGGCAGAAAGGAACCAAGCCACATCAGATATCGCCAAATCTAATTTATTACTTTAATTTTTTACATGAAAACATTTGTGCGGATTTTTGTGCAAATTTCAGTGAATTTTCTGCATAGTACGAAACAAATCCCTTAAAATTTTCAAAGTAATCCGCACAAACGTCCTTTTTAAAATATTAATTTGTCCAGTTAAATTTGGCAATAGCTGATGTGGCTTGGTTCCTTTCCGCCCAACGCGGTCCGAATGACCGTTGTCAGCGACCTAATGGTGCTCTTGCAAAGTGGTGTCACTCGGACACAATTAAGCAAATAGGAACCGTTTTTGTGGGGAAACAGGAGGTTAATTAGTGGTCAGGCAGAAACGTCCATTGCACTCGCCGATAAAATATGAATGAAAAATTCTAGTCGACATCAAGTGTCGAGCAGACACCTCGTTTTCTCAAAAATCCCAGTTTCCTTCCAACTTGGTAGCCGTCCATGAAACACGTAACTCTAAATTTTGGATTTTTGGACTCACTCTCCTCTTCATAACACTTTGTGACACACAGGCGGATTCAGGGGTCGCATCCCCCCCTCGTTCGCTCGAAAAAGAAGAGGAAGAAAAAGAGAAGAAAGAAAAAAGGAACAAACGGAGGAAAGAAGAAGGAAGGCTGCTTATTTTTGGAACTTATTCATGAGGAAAATTTGCTCAAACTATATGTTACCTGCTTAAAAATTTCGAAAATTTTCTGACGGAAGCCTCCTGAAACTCCCTCCTCCGAAGCGCCTGGATCCGACCATGTTGCGACATACATTCCTATTCTATAACGAGAAAGACAAGAATGGCGAAACGCTATCTTTTTGACCCCCCTCCCCCTTAGAGCGTCACATATTTTATGAATGGTTACAATTTTGGTGTGTTCATTTCTTATAAAGGAAAGAGTTACTTTAGACATATTTTTTTACAGACAAAAGGGCAGACGTGGAAAACAAAATAATTAACGCTTGAAAAAATATATTTCCCGCGACGTGACAATAAAGAAAAGTAGGTATTATAGTCATTGAGACCATCATCGATTGAAAAATAATCAAATAAATAAATAGTTTTAATTGTGTGATTTGTCGATCAACTGAGGAAATAGAAAGTTAATTTGAAAAAATTAAAAGTCGATAGAGGAAAGTTTAGCCCGCGCGGTGTTAACAAGCGAACGGAGTAAAACAAAACATGCATGCGTAAATCCACGGCATAATTAATGTAAGGATGTTGGAAACAAAGCCACTTCATTCTAAACGATACTTTCCACGAAAAGTTCAGAAACTTTCTGAGAATCAAGCTTGCATATCAGTTAAATAATCACTTACCGTTTGCATTTCCGGTGAATGAGGTTAACTGCGTTGATTAAGATTGTTGATAACTTGGTGTTGTGCTTTCTCCACCCACTGCATATATTAGGCGTCGGCAATGTTTGCTGGATCTTCAAAAATATATTTGTATGATGAGGAAATTAGAAAACAAAATCTGATTTCACATTGTTTTCATTTACGTCAAAAGTTTCTCAGTATTATTTCATGAAAGGCATTGTAGATTGGGAAAATTTTAACACGATGTATGGAATGCTGCTGAGATGGATTCATTAAACAATATCCATGCAGTTTGCAAATTGAATGTGGAAGTACCAATCAACCGATTTCAGTCAGCGACATTGACAATTTTTTTTTTGAACATGCTATCTCCTTGGTTCATGAATTTTTGTAGGTCGTAGCGAGAATGTGGCCTTTTTTAAAGAAAGGAAAAGCCAGAGGATCATCGCTGCATATGTCGTATGGCTTCCTTCTTCAGTCTTTCATTTGCCTTTAGGAGGAACGTCGTATAAGCTTTCAGACGTTGCCGCAGTTTCTGTGATGAAAGACAATATTTTAGGAAAACTTGTAAATATTTTTTTTGCAATTTTTTAGACAATTTTCTTTGGGATTTAATGTAAAGTATCTTAAAATTTCAAGGAAAAAATACTCACAATTTTTCCAAACAATTAACATTTCATTGGGTGGAATATTGAACGGCTTTTTTCCGTAGCAGGGAAGAAAGCCTTTATTTCGGTCGAATCTCAGAGAAAATAATACCTATATGTGCCGGCCTAACTCGATGGTTAATGTGCGAAACCACGTATCTCCAGTTGCAACGTTGCAGACCTCTCGTCATACTTAATCTTTT